GCCGTGTCCTGGTTCTGTTGTTCCCCGCTGTCTAGCGAATTGTATGTGGCTGCATGATCTTGGTCAGTTGAAAATTCTTCTTGGGGGACAACGTTGGAGCCCTCAGAGTATTGAAGCAGCACTGAGTTGAAAACATTATTATTATTACACGAGGTGAGAACTGTTATTATTACATATAGGGGCGAGACAAAGCTTCTGATTGGATAACCTTTCACCTAGAACTGTCAAATTGAGTTTGATGAAAGCCGGTATTTATACTGTGTGTGTGTCATTGTAGCTGATAATAATAACTGTAATTGTGAAATACTGTGAAAATGTGATATTTTTTGTGATATCATACTGTGAAAATTTTATACCGTTGCAACCCTATTCCATACCTTCTGTTTGTGCTCTCCTGCAAACTACCTACTTATGGACATCTTCAAAGGTAATACCTACGTTTATCCTCTGCATAACTGTATCCAAGTTCTCCTGAAAAACATTGCTTACCTGTGTCTGCCGTTTTGTATAGCATATTACTTACATATAACTGAGCCTGCTAACTGACATGCCCTAAGAAAGATTCTAAATCATGAGTGTTACTTTCTTTCAAAACCTTTAAAAACCCGTTCTCTACAGTGCTGCATTTCACTGCAATACCCAAGTGAAAATTAGAATTTACGAATGTATTTTTGCACACTAATAGGATTGTTTGAAACAGCTTTCCGAAACACACAATAGAGAGGAATTTGTAATGATAGTTTTAGAGAAATTTAAACAACTGAATAAAATTGCCATACATTAATACCACCTCTTTAAACTGTTGCTTATTAACAGATATAGCATTCATTGGGAGTCATGTTTTTGCCACCTGATGAATAGACAGAAGTCCACTCTTAAATCTGTGGTAGATTCTGCAACTAATCCACCACCAATTTCAACTAATTTTCTCTGATGTTCAGTTTTGCCATCACAAAGTGGCAGAATAATGTACAACCCTGGAAGGCAAAAGGCACTCAAACAAGAAGTCTTGTAACTAAATGGTAATAAACAGGACAAACTACTCTGAATGATGAACCCTGCTGGTCTGCAATAATCTATGACAAACAATGCCAACAGGAGGATAGATGTGTCTTGCTCTGTAGTTCTGTTATTGTCTGTAGATGAAAAAATATTGAGCTCATCACTCAGAACTCAATTATGGGAAATAGAGGAAATCTTTGATGGCTCCTTTAGCAGAGAGTGGATGTGCTTCTCTCTGTTCTATTTGAGTATAGCTAAAATAAATGTATTTTACCAAAAAAAATCTCGTCTGCCTTAGCTTTTATGTGGACTTCATTTGCACAAGGACTTCATGTTTGGTGCACCAGTGCTATGCGCTTTTTGTGTTCACACTGCTTTCACTCACCAAATCCTTGACGTGAATGCCTTGATGATTGAACATCGGGCTAATAGATTGCCTGGCTTGCTAGCTGACTGGCTGACTCATGGGTTTCAGGCAGACTGGCTGTTTCATCAGCTGATTAACTAGTGTTCCTGCCTTAATAGCAGGGAATAGTAGTGCAGTCCAACTCTGTGCTCTGCAGAAGGGCAGGCCAGGTTCACTGCTGAAGTGAGGACAAGGCGCTGGACAACTCCCAAATATGTGTCTGTGTGTATACATTGTGCATGTATGTGGATGCACATAAAGGATTGTGGGATACGTATGTGTGTGTTTGTGTATGTTCAAATTGAGCTGCAGTACATTTAATCTGAGCTCTTCTCCTCAGGGAAGCTAAGAGGTAGAGCACAGACTTCTAAGTACACTTGCTGGAAGTCACAAATTATGTCACACAGTTAGGAAAAGCCATTGACTGGTTGTCAGCATAAGAGGCAAGAAAGACCACTGTAATTACTTTAATGACTTTTAGGTCATACTGCAGGGGGTCCAGGGGGTCCAGAATACTGCTCTGGATGTGGGCTAGCATCACTCTCTCAAAACACTTCATGATGATTGGGGTGAGTGCCACTGGCCTGTAGTCATGTCCAGGTGTGTGCATGCTTCCTCTCTGTTCTGTAGCTGGAGGTCTCAAAGCAGGTGTAGAAGGTGTTGAGGTCATCTGGCAGGCTGTTTGTGGGGCTGATGATGCTGATGGTGGTCCTGTAGTCTATGATGTGCTGCAGGCCTTGCCACATCCGTCCGGAGTCAGTAGTAGAATAGATACCTTGGAATAGAGCACACAACAAGTTTGACGCAAATAGCAGGGCTCAGGCTCATTAAACCGTTATGTATTCAGTGCCCTTCAGTCTGTCATATTAGCTTACAATAAAATAAAAAAATTTCAATAAAATAAAAATGTACTTTGGCCACTAATATAGGGGTTTGGTGGCCCCATGGGGTCAATGCTTAAAAATATTAGTGTAAAAATAAAGTGCTTAACCTTTGCTAATAATCTCTAATATTGGATTATGTGTAAAATTATGTGTTGTCATATCAACTGTTTTTACATGCTTGAAAGAATAAATCAACTCAAATCAAATCAATCTCAACTGAAAGAAGCTCACTTTGTCCAATAAATTGACCTGTTCATCCATCTTAAGGGCAATAAGAAAAAACACCCCAAAGTTTTTTTTACCTTTCAGATAGGCAGCTATCAGGCCAATATCATTGTTACAAAACCCACCGGGACTTCCAACAGCACACACTTTGTTTTACTTTTGTTAATGTGTAGAAAGTTTAGTGATAGCTATGTTTTAATGTCACTCAGGCAATCAGATACAGCTGGTAATGAGATACCCTTCTTCCTGGTCACAGGCAGGTAAATTTGGATGTCATCAGCATAGCAATAAAAAGATAACCCATATTTCTTAAACTGAACTTAAGGGAAGTAGATACAGTGAGAACAAAACAGCACCAAGAATATATCCTTGTGGGGCCCCACAGGTCAGACCACCAACAGACGATGAATATTCCTCAATGCACACAGAAAAATGCCTATTAGACAAATATGAATCAAACCATTTAACAGCAACACTTTGGATATATGTATATTGTTCGAGATGAGACAACAAAATACTATGGTTCACTGTGTCTAAAGCAGCCGAAATATCTAACAGTACTAACAGGAAGGAATTTCCATTGTCAACAGCTAGCAAAAGATCATTCAAGACTCTTAACAAAGCTGATTTTATGCTATGGCAAGACTTAAAACTAGACTGAATGTTTTCAAAAACTCAGTTTTCCTCAAGAAAATATTGCAGTTGCATGAAAACAGTTTTCTCCCAGATGTAAGATAGACAAAGCAATTTGTACACTGGTCTAAAATTGGATAACAACAAAGTGTCCAGATTGCGGTTTTTCAGAATAGGTTGACCCACCACATGATTAAAATCAGCTGGAACAAGCCCTACATTACTACATTATTGTGTTAAATATTATATACTATTCTAATCTGATCACTAAAATTATACAAAACAACAGCAGATAATGTAGCAAAGCACAGCATCAAAATAAGATTGTTCTAAGAGGTTGAGACTAAGAATGCTGCATGACACTCCTGGACTCGTGTGTGCTATTGCTCTCTACCTGTGCCATGTTTGTCAGTTTACTTGATGAGTTACTCACATGTTGCACTCGGGAGTAATCTACTGTTGCAGTGCAGACACTTTTCCTCTCTCTGCAGTATTAAAGGGTTGTGATTTGTGACTACAGACTGTAAAACTTAAAATACAAGGTGAAATATATACTGGCTATGCCTGACAGACTCATAATGTTGGCAGCATAAATCCACCAGCTGGTAAAATGCATATTGTAAAAGATCGAGAAACTTGGATGGTCAAAAAGGTTATTGACTGTTAAACCACAGTCTGTTCCTCTTGTGTTTCCACATATTTTATTTTGTGGTTGTGTTTAGATGTGTTGATCTATTCTTATTATAGATTCTATAGATTCGGTTCTGCTTCTTATTCTTATCACATCTATTCTTATGTGATGTGATTTTTTTTCTGAAATGTGTTAGCATTATGTGGTATGAGCTTTCTGGTTCCCAATGTCTGAAACTGTGTAGCAACATCTGAAGAAGACAACTGTTCCCAATGAAAATGCTGGGACACCTCCTGCAGAGCTTTTTGACTGTTTTTAAAGTTTTACTGACCTTGTGGTTGCACCATCCTTCGCACCTCTGACCACACCCTGAACCCAGAGGTCAACAAAAATAAGGCTTTCAGCTGCTGTTAAGTCACAGTTAAACCACCACTTTGCACGCTCTGTCACAGTCATGGCAGTCTCTGCAAATATTAACTCCATGTCTTATTCTTCCTTTTGTAAATGACTGAAAACATTCATTCAATTCATTTATTTATGGCATGCTTGTTCATTTCAGTCATTCACTGTGATGGAGAGTGGCAGTACAGTAAGCAGACAGTCGCATATTGATTGCAGTTTGTGTCTCCGTGAAGAGGATAAAACAAGCCAACCTTTTCCTTTTCTCAACTTGCTTCATGTTGAATTTGCTCTGATTGGTCTTTGTACCAGCAATAAAAACTCGCAGGTGAAAACACGAGTAGACAAGACAGACTGATCTGAGTTCTGATCTGACAGACTGAGTTCTTGTGGTCTCCATGTTGTATATCTGTAGACACCACAACCCCAACATATAGTTATGGTTGTGAGGAGGTGCATGCCAGTGACAGTGTAGACAGTAATGTAGCAGAATTTCAGACCAGGAAAGGCCATTCATCTCCTTTTTTAAACACAAAAACAGCCTTTAGAGTTGCTATGATTCATGGTATTTATAGATTTTTCATTTTACAGTTTATATGAAGACATTTGCTAAAAAAAAAAAAAAATCTGTTTAACTGCCCTTTAAATGCATTTGGTTTTCTAAACCTGATATGTTGTAAGTGTAATAATGCACTCAGAGGTTTCTCTACATCTGAACATGGATTTGGTGGAGGAAACACAACTCCAAGCAGAGCAGCATACGTATCAGCATTCCTTTTCAGTGCTTTATTGGTTTCTCTTTTTTGCTCTCTCGTTGTAGGGTGGTTCCATCCAGAACACAGAGTCTCAGCATTGCCTGGAGCTGCTGGAGAGCAGACAGGCAGAGTTTGGTTTCCAGCTGGTCATTCAGGACTGTACCAGTCAGAAATGGACCATCACCAACATACTGACAGTCCTGCCACAGTGAACACAATGGCAGCACTAGTGGAGCACCTTTGTTGTGATGGACTAATCTAGTAAGCAAGGAAGTTCAAACAAGGCACTGCACTGCTTCAAAAAACCAACATGTCATGTTCTGGTACACCTAAAAAGTATTAGTCCAGTTAGAAATGAACTACCACACTGACCTAAGCAAACGGAATGTCCAAAATAAGGACTTATTTTTAACAAGAATCTGCATTGGAAAAAATGTGCTTCAAACAAATATTGACCATCAGTAACCTAATAACCATTTAATACCAGTGCCCTGAGAGAAGAGCCACTCACAGATGAAGCCAGGGCTCTTAAAACCTTCCACTCTGCAAATGAGATGAGAAATACAGTCACTTGTTCCAGAGGACAGGCTCATGAAATCATGTATGCGCTCTGGTTATTTCAGGAGCAAACCTGTTGTATGTATTTTTGATGCCTGTTCACAGTTTAAGATTGAGCCTGAAGCTCCCTCAGTCTCATTGCACAATCACCATACCACCATATCACCAGTAAGGGTGGTGTCGCTATGTTTGTATGCAGAGAGAGAAATGCAAGGTGATGGACAGTCCACATATTGGAACCATTTCACAATGCAAACTGGCTGATTTGTTACACAAATTATATGACAGGTTTTGAGTTATTACCGTTACACACCACTTGACCAAAAGTGTCAGCAGAACAGATGCTGTAGATTTCCTCAGTATCACAAAAAAGTGGGAAGGTGTAATGGAGAATAACCAGCGAGTGATTTACAGGGGCACTGTGATAGAAACTCTGTCCCTCAGAAGGTTCAGCATGTGCTTTGTAATTAATTGGATCAGAAGCAGAGACTTCCATCATGCTGGCACATTTGTGGGTTCAGAGACCCAGCAGGAGATGTATCAGGAAGAGACCAGGTTGGACTTGGACTTGGACTTCCTGCTAGCTCCTGTAACACCAGCACATAAACACAACTCAGTCTCATGCAGCAATGATATATCTGCTGAAATAAAAGCAGGTGGGCGAAAGAGTTGAGTTAAAGTGATATGGAAGCTGCTGGTGTTGGAAAAGATGAAGCACACTTCAACAGCTGCTCTGGCATTTAGAAATATTGACCATAAGACCAAATTGTCCCAGAAAAACTCCACTTAAATAAGTTAGTATAGACTAGCCACCCAACTCAGGACATTTTTTCTGGGTATTTAAAGAAACCATACAATTTCAAATTTAGTTTATTGATTTAACTACCAACCTTAAAAACCCAACATGTGTAACATTAGTGTAATCAGAGAAATTACACCTGCTAAATTTCCAGACCGAGGACATGACCTTATGTCTTCTGTGGTAGCAGTGGACCTCCAAATTGTGTTGGTTCAAATATCATGCTCATGGAAATCTGATATGACAAATACTGGCTTAAAGGACAAATCTTCCCTAAAATACCAAATGTCCGCCTGTGTTCAGAAGCTTTACTAGGGCAAAAACCCAAGTTCAGATACTGTATCTGTAGTCCTATTTCAGGGACCTCCTCCTTCAAAGTGCTCTTTTTGAAAATAAGACCTGTGGTTGACCCTGTTTGTAACTTCAGCCAAAAAAATGCATCATTCTTTTGCCTGTCTGGTTTATCATTATAACTCTTAAGTGTCCAAAGTCAGCTGTGTCCTACTGTTTTTGTGTTTTATATATATATACTGCTCAAAAAATAAAGGGAACACAACATAAGACATCCTAGATCTGAATGAATGAAATATTCTTATTAAATACCTTGTTCATTACATAGTTGAATGTCTTATTTTCCCTTGTGTTCCCTTTATTTTTTTGAGCAGTGTATTTCTGTAGCTATGTTTGGTTTACAAAGAAGTAATGCTATGAAAATCATTTCAAAGTGTAACAATGAAGGCTAGATACTGTTTGTTATTGTCAGTAGCCTGAACATGGTCATTGTTACATAGAGAATGCTCCAATTGTTTGCACATGTAATAGAGAAATTACAGTTGGATATACTGTATTTGTATATATTGTACACGGACGTCCCACTAACCTCAGAAATTGTTAATCTGAAGCCCTTTTCAGACATGCACTGACACTCTGAAATTATCTAGACATTACTCAGAGAAGCTTTATGTGAGAAGGCAAATGTATGGGTCAGTTGGTCCAGACATGATTTTACTCTGCCAACTCTCCAGTACAAAGTCGGCATAATGTCAGAGTTCAGAGTAGAGTAGAACAGGGTACTGCCTGGAGAATTAACACCAAACTAATGGGCATGTTAATGACGTTCTATCATGACTGGTGCGAAGCCGTAAGAATACAGCCAAGAAGAACAGTCGCCAACAAAAATATCTAACTGGAGACATGATGAGATTCAGGAACTTCTGTCATTAAGGGCTGATGCTGAAAATGTCAGACAGGTTCAAGGAACAGACTTGGTTGTTTATGACCAAATTACAAACCAGTTATGTGACTGCATCATTCCCTGCTTCCTGCACACTCTAGCCAGGCGCCACCTCTGAGTGGTGACATATTTCAGCAGGTTAAAATGCATCTGACACAGACTGTCAACTGCCGTGGGCTACATGTGTGAAAGGGCAACTCCAAACAATGTCCACACCTGATTCTGCGGGCATTTGTCCAGAGTTGGCTTGAGATATTTAAAACTTGTCTTATTTTGTAATTTTCACCACATTAATTGCTGAGGTCTGTCTCACACCTCAAATTTGTTCAGTCATTCAAATTGGTCTGCTGTGCCCACTGTTGTGCGTTTCTGCTGGTTAGAGAAACAGTCAACCAATTAGGTCATGTATTAAGAATGGGGATGTCATCTATTTACTATACATAGCTAGCTAACATGCTATATTATTGTTTGATGACAAGGCTTCTCCTGTTTCTCACATACAGTATCAGATTTGACCTACACTGTCTTATTTCCCGATCTCAGCTTTGGTGAGTAAAATGTTCTCATAGCTAACAGAAACAAATAAAAGGCCCAAGTTGTAATAAACAAAATTATCCTCTAAACAGCACTGCCTACACATTACAGTACACTACTGCTTTGTTGGCTGAGTGCAGTTTCTTGGTGGGAGACTCCAAACTCTGACTTCTGACTTTGAGATGTTGAGGACAGCACCAGTTTGGAAACAGACTTCCCAGTAATACTTTGACAAATCTTCCATGATCTCATTTCATGTGCACATTCTGCCTACTAGCCTTCAGTTCTCCTAAGGACACACTTTAGGGGGCAGCTCCTGAAATGAGACCCAACTTGTCATTACATTTTCCACCTACACAACTGCAAACAGGTCAAGCTCATTTTGTATGGGCTTTTAAAATGTACTCTGGGAAATGTAGGATGTCACTGCTCACTTGTGAAGAATGAATGTGCAGAATCAGTAACACAAAAGGAATAGATTGAACAGATGGATACCATCCATTACAGATGGACGGTGTCTGACAGCAGACCGCCATCCAAGAAAAGATTTCTACTTTAAAATTTTGCTGCTGTGTCCACATGCTTTGGAGCTAGTAACTACACCGGTGTGTGTGTGTGTGTGTGTGTGTGTGTGTGCCCTATTATGTTTGTTATGTTCTTTTAATATTTAAATGCTTTCTTGAACTCAGTTCTAGGTATTTTGACAGTTCTACATAGCTCAAATCTACAGCTAACCCATGAAATGTTGGGTGCCTAAAAACATTTTTCAATGTTAGATATACTGTATATGGGTCTGACTTATAGAATTTAATATGTTCTGCACATATAAATGTCTAAAAATAGTTGTGACCTTTTGCATTTATTTATAGATTGTTAAACGTATGCGCACAGATCACCCAACATGTGGAATGAGTTACATTTGAGTGTGGAATTTTCACTCTTTTTCACACTCTCTGATCCACGCAGGCTTTTAAATACCAGTTTGAAAAAAACTTGACTTTTCAACACATTCATGTGGAAAGGTTTTCCCCTCTCCAAAGATAAAATAGCATGCCATCATTTGATTAGGCAACTTTTAGCACACAAAAACAATATGTTTTGTGTGTGACAATGATTTCCCTTCAAAGTATATGTTATGTGTATGCAAAAACTCCATTACTTACTCTGAAATGAGGCACAAATATAACTCCATACAGACTGGGCTTTTATGACTTAAAGTGTTGGAGTGTCTGGATATATGTTTTGTGTATGAGTAAATTTAGCTTTTGCTGATTTGACACTTGCATATTACTACTGATAAATCATTTGCTCTACATGTACAAATCTCCAAAGGTTACACACTGTCATAAAGCTTTGTTAAGTAAACTGCTTTGCAATCTATCTTCCAATTATTCAAAAGCCTTAAATAATCTCTGTCAGTAGTTCCATTCAAAAACAGGATGAACCTGTCCATTAGTAATCTGGCTATTATGTATTCAAAATGTTTCTTTTTCAATCACATGTTTCTAAAGGTACCAGTATCATAGTGATAAATTAGTGGTAACTTGTGGAGGACTGGAACTGGATGTCTTCTATCAGCTACTGTGTAGCATTTGTTATCAGACCTTCTGTTGATCTTCTCTTCTTTTTGTGGCTCAGGATTGTAGATCCTGAAATTTTATAAGTATCTCAGTTTTTGGGAAGCTGTTAACATTGCAAGTCATGAAAATGTCCAAGCTATTTTATTAGTGTATTTAAACTGGATATTTATAAGTACTACCAGTAAAAAATGATAATGGCAAACCTTGTCCTATGTCACTGTGTCTTTTCACCTCTGCACGTATTGTATGGCTTTAGCACACAAAACTGGTTTTTCTATAATATGAACCTACCAAAACACGTCAAGCTGAGGAACGCTCGTCAAGGGTTCTGTGTTTCCACTGCAGTGCGCCTACCTTGGAGGAGTGTTTCAGGACCTAAATTTCAGCACCCCTGGGTGCACTTTGTCATTATTGACAAGGTGTAAGGCTGCATCATTATTAGGCCACTTGGGGGCAGTGCAAAAAGCTGTAAACACAATGACACTGTAGTACCCTAAAGTTGATATAGCAAGTGGATTAGCAAACCTATTTACACATTTAGCAGGCGCAGAGACATATTAGGATTCTTTAGCTGATAAATGGTTTTCTACCAGCTAGCTAGCTAACCAAACCAAAGCTAAAAGACACTAAAGCACTACTTAGTGCTGAGGGTAACTGCAGAATTGAGACATCATTTTTGTGAGTTTGTCACTTCAAGCAACACATTACATGTTAATTATCTTACTCTATTGATTATTTAAAAATATCGATGGGTGCAAGTATGAAAAATAAAAATAATCATCAAATCAAAAATGACCACTTGAAGCTTTGCACTGCATTCTGATAAACACTAAATTCCAGAATCACTGTCATCCCCTCGTCCAGTCACTGTGTGTAACAGTAAGATTACATAAATGTCATCTGCCAAAAGAAAAGAATGAAATTTCAACTGAACCCACCTTGCACTCTCACCATCTTAGAAAGTAACTCTTAAACATGTGTTGAAACAGGTAAAGAGAGAAGACATTTTCCTGAGTGTCTCTGCTAAACTTGCAGTTTGACATCATTAAACATGTATGGGATGGCACTCATGCGCACCACTTAATCATTAATTCCAGTAACACTGCTGTTTACTCTTCCACTAGCTCATAAATGTTGTCATTTGCACACACACACAGACCCGCACACATTCACAATTCATATTACCATTTTACAAAAAGCAAATGAAACACTATGTAATGGATTTATTTCATCATCAAAAGGTGATGTGTGTTGATGACATAGACATGGTCTCCAGTACTGCTGTGAGCAACCCTGGAGTGATTTTTGACCAGGATATGTCCCTTAACTCACACATAAGCCAAGCCTGTAGAACTGCCTTCTTTCAGCTGCACAGGTCCATGCATTTGTTACTTCCAGTACTACACTACTGTGTTTACTATCAAGATGTCCCAATAATTCCCTAAAAAGCCTCCAATTAATCCAAAATGCTGCAGAGTACTGACAGGAACTAGCAAGAGAGATCATATGTCTCTCATATTAGCTTCTCTCCACTGGCTCCCTGTAAAATCCAGAATAGGCCTTAAAATACTTTTCCTAACATACAAAGCCCTTAATGACAAGGCTCCATCATGTCCTACAGATCTCATATAATGCCTTATCATCCTAACAGAGCACTTCGTTCTCAGAGTGCAGGTCTACTTGTGGTTTGATTTGATTTGATTTATTCTTTCAAGCATATAAAACAGTTGATATAACAACACACATTTTTACACACAATCCAATATCAATTTGCTTATACCTAGTACATGCTTGAATGGAGTAGGAAGAAGTCAGACTTATCCAGTCCTACCCCATGACATCATCTTACATCATTGGTTTGCAAGCAATAAATGATTCACTTCCACACACACACACACATAAAAACACACTAAAAAAGAATATAACAGTGTTAACATTCTTACATCACACAAGTGATATACTAAAGAATGGTTACAAAATATACACTGCACCCACAGTTGTCCATGTAGTTAATCATTGAACCTGTTCCTAGAGTCCACAGAAGTAGAATGGGAGGCAGAGCCTTTAGCTATCAAGCTCCTCTCCTATGGAACCAACTCCCAGTCTCAGTTCAGGAGACGGACACCCTCTCTACCTTTAAGATTAGAACTAAGACTTTCCTTTTTTGATAATGCTAAGAGTTAGGGCTGGATCAGGTGACCCTGAGCCTTCCCT